AAGCTTGTCCTTGATGAGGCCAAACACATTCACTGGAAGAAAGATAGCCTATTTATTTATTATATTTATTTTTTAATTTATTTGATATACAGTCTCACTATACAGTTCAGACTCATAGTGATTGACCCTCCTGTCTCAGCCTCCCCAGTGCTGGGTGGCATGAGCTACCACACCAAGGCTTGGGGCCCATATGACATGCAGTACCAGGGATCAAACTCAGATCCTTGCACTGACCAGGCAGGAAGTTAGATCACTCAGCTATCTCCCCAGATCCCTAAGATAGCCTCTTTAATAACAGGTGTTGGAAAAACTAGCTCTTCACATTCTGAGGGCTAAAATTAGACCCATGTACAAAACTACAGTCAAAATCAATGAGTTAAATATTAAAACAGAAACCCTAAATCTTCTGGAAGAGAAAGTAGGCATAAGTCTTTAAGACATAAGGGTGTGTAAAAATCAAGGTGCGCAGGAAATACTACAAAGAATCAACAAGTGGGATCTCATCTTTTTGAAAATTTTCTACATATCAAAAGAAATCACTAACAGAGTAAAAAGAAAACCCCATGAACTGGGAAAAATTATAGCCAATTGTCCCTCAGACAAAGCACTTCTGTCTAGAGCATATAAAGAATTAAAAAATATCAGGTCTCCAAAGTTCAAAGAACCAACCCAAAAATGGGTATCTGAGGGCCAGCAACATAGCTCAGCAGACTAAAGCACCTGTACATGCAAGCTTAGCAAGTGCAGGGAGGGCACTTTGATCCCTGGCCCCACATGTCTTGCCAGCCCCACCCCTAGGGAAGACTGAGCCAGCCAGAATCCAGGTGTACTGGTGTATACCTATAAACCCAGCAATGGGGAAACTGAAAACAGGAGGATCATTATGAGTCTGAGTTGTGTAGTAAGACCCTGTAACAACCAAATATATATTTTAGAAGTTAGGTATTTCACAGATGAGGAAATACAAATGGCAAATAAATATATGAAAAAATATTCAACATCATTGGTCATTTAGGAGATGTAAAGTAAAACAACACTGAGACTCCATCTTATGCAAGAAATAATGGTTATCATCAAGAAGTCAACCAATAATACATGCATGCTGGAAGGGTTATAGGGAAAAGGATCCTTGTCCACTGTTGATAGGAATGCAGACTGGTACAACCACTACAGAAAGCAGTGTGGAGCTTTCTCAAAAACCTAGGATCGGCAGTCCCATTCGAGCAAGCTATTCCCCTGCTAGGTGTTTTTCCAAAAGGACTAAAAACATCATACTACAGCAATATATGTGCACCCATGTTTATAGCAAAGTAATTTGTAATAGCTAAATCTTGGAAACAACCCAAATGCCCATCAGCTAAGGAATGGATAAAAAAAGGGATAGTGTTTTTACACAGTAGAGCATTATTCAGCTATTTTAAAAATATAAATTTAAGGATTTTATAGGTAAATGAAGACAACTAGAGACTGTATTGCTAAGTGAAATAAATCTTTTTTATGTATTTAGTACAGGGTCTACAGGGTGTTCAGGACCTCATTACATTGATCAGATTCATAGTGATTCTCCTATTTTCAGCCTCCAAAGTGCTGGGATTATAGGTGCATGCCACCACACCCAGTCTCAATCAACATCTCAGCATGCCCCAGGGGCAGGACTGGCATGGCCCCCAAGGATCAAATACTGGCTGCTGCGCTCTGCCTAAGCAGGCACGTTAGTCCACTGAGCTAACTGGCCAGCCTTAAGTGAAATAAATCTTACCTGAATGTGCAAACATTGTATTATTTCACTATTAGGAGAACCTCAAAGAGTAAATAAAAGTTGAAAAGTACAATAGCTACTGTGAAAGCAAAAAAAATCTGTTCAATGGGAAGGAAAAAACTGGGATAAATAAAGGACTAAAGAAAGAAGGGGAAAGATACTCATGTATATATGCAGGATAGTTTGGATTATTATACTACTGATTTCTGCTGGCCTATTGAAAGGAACAGTTAATGCTTAAAAATTTTTTTGCCTCAATTTAAATTCCTAAAAATTTTTTTTACCTATTTTGCAGGTTTATATCTGGTAACCTAAACAATTAATTTGAAGATTACATTATGATATACAACAACCATTGTCGAATTCCTTTTTTACTTTGTTTAATGAAATTGTGTATCACTTCTAAATTTTTTTTAACACTTTGTACTCTATTTTAAAAAGTCATAGGTTTTTTAAAAGTAGAATTTTTGGAGAACAGTTCTGCCCTTCTCTTCTGCTGCACAGCCTCCTACATTGTCAACATCTCTACAGAATAGTTCATCTGTTACAACGGATGATCTTACCTTTATTGACACACCATCACCCACAGCGTTAGTTTATTTTAGGTCTGTACTTCATACTAGGGTTCACTTGTGGTGTTGGACATTCTATGGGTTTGGGCAAATTTATAATAACATGCATCTATTATTACAGTGCAGTGTCATAGAGCAGCACTACTGCACTACGAGTCCTCTGAGCCCCATCTGTTCATCTTTCCCTCTCCTCTAATTCCTGGAAATCACTGATTTTTTCCTTCTTTCCATAGTTTGCTTTTTCCAGAATGTCACATAGCCAAAATCAAACACTATGTAGACCTTTCAGAATGGTTTCTTTCACTTAACAATATAAGTCTGATATTCCTCCAAGTCTTTCAAGTCTTCCAAGTTCACCTTTTTAGCGCTGTTCCCTCTCATTGTCTAGATGTACTATTGTTGATTTATTCATTATCTCCTGAAGGACAGATTGATCACTTGCAAGTACGGACAATTAAAAATAAAGCAACTATAAATATATGCAGGCAGGTTTTTATAGGAGCATAGTCTTCAGCTCCTTTGAACATATAGCAATGAATGTAATTACTGGATCATACGATGAAAATATATTTAGTTGTGTAAGAAGCTGCTAAAAGCTATCTTTCGAAGTTATGTACTGTACTATATTCCTACCAGGCCTTGGTGAAGGGTCCCTCACTCTGCATCCTGACCAACAATTATATGTGTCAGCAGTTGCTTTTGTTTTTTT